GCCTTAGCCACTTGAGCCACAGGTGCCGAGCCACATAAATTGCTTTGTACCATTTGAGTCAGAGTCATAAGCATGCCCGTCACCCAGACAGTGTGCACTGTACCCATTAGGTGTAAATTTATACTTGCCCTTCCGCCCCCTCCTACCTACTTAAATTTGATGAGTGCTGTTTCCATATGTGCATGTAAGTGTCAATCGATTAGTTCCAGTTTAATGGTGAGCACATGTGGTGCTTCTTTTTCCATTTTTGTGAAAAGGTGATGAATTACTTCGGGAAAAAAAATGTCTTCACACCCAAATCAACTAACCTTCTTGTCTGATAAGTAGAATAGCATGCTTAGGCTGACACATAGCACTCATTTTATTTTATTGGCTTTTCTGCTTAATTTTTTCTTAATTTGAAGAATCTTAAAAATATTTTTGCTGGGCAGTGCCTATGGCTCAGTGAGTAGGGCCTCAGCCCCATATACCGAGGGTGACAGGTTCAAACCCGACCCCAGCCAAACCGCAACAAAAAAATAGCTGGGTGTTGTGGCAAGCGCCTGTAGTCCCAGCTACTTGGGAGGCTGAGGCAAGAGAATCACCTAAGCCCAAGAGCTGGAGGTTGCTGTGAGCAGTGTGACACCGCCACGGCACTCTACCGAGGGCAAGAAAATAAGACTCTGTCTCAAAAAAAATATATATATATACACACATATATATATTGCTATTATAAAGTCATATTAGTAAGGATTTGGAATTTCTTAAATGCCTTTGTTCTTAAATATTCTGTGTTCAGCAGAAAGAAAACTTCCCTTGCTAAATGTGAATTTTTATCTTGAAAAATTCCCCACGTGGCTCGGCTCCTATAGCTCAGCAGCTAGGGTGCCAGCCACATACACCTGAGCTGGCGGGTTCGAACCCAGCCTGGGCCTACCAAACAACAACTACAACCAAAAAATAGCCGGGTGTTGTAGCAGGCAACAACCTGGTGTGCCTGTAGTCCCAGCTTCTTGAGAGGCTGAGACAAGAGAATTGCTTAAGCCCAAGAGTTTGAGGTTGCTGTGAGCTGTGACGCCATGGCACTTTACTGAGGGTGACATGGTGAGACTCTCTCAAAAACAGAAAAGAAAAATTCCCCACAGATCCTGAGGACCATGGCGTTTACAAAGTAGCTGGGGCATGGGTGGAGGAGTGGGTTAACTCTTTTGACATCCTAGCTTCTAGCTAATTTACTTACATTATAGCATTTTCTTCAACATCACATTTATTTCTTAGGGCTTAACGCTAATGTACAGGTAGTATAAATAGAGGTGAATCTTACTGCACATTCTTGAGGTAACACCTCGTTGACTTTGCAGATACTTTTACATATCCCATGACTGAAGCTTCTGTGCAATAGTCATTGTTCTATGAGAATCTTTCCCTGTCATTTCTATTATTAAATATTAAGAAGCCTGGAAACACCAGAACTCTGAGACCAGCTCGGTTTGGTTACAGCAGACACACTGCAGCAGTGACCATCCTGGTGAGAACTGTTCCTCCTTGTCATGGCAGGAACCATGGATGAGTCCTTTCCATTCAGAAAAACTATGTGTATGTGAGCTTTAATCTGCAACTTAATTCCATTTTTAGCAGAAATTTGTTTTGCAGTTTATATTTCTAGCAAAGATCTCAGAGAGCTTGTGGCAAAATTAGAGAAAGCAAATATAGATTAATTAATATGAACTGCCAAGATAGCAGGGCCGTGTGCATCCCTTACCATGTTTAATCTCCACAGCTATGATATAGGTATTATCATTATTGTACAGCTGAGATAACTGAGACTCAGACTAAGTAATTTTTCCAAGGTCAAAGAGCTAATAATTGAAAAAAATAAAGTGTGAATACGGGATTTTCCCAACTCTAAATAAAGCTCATGCTCCCAAAGCATAAAGCTTCTAAATAAAGTCCATGATGACATTTTCACAGAAAAACATGAGGAGGGGAGAGGGAAGTTCAGGCAAACAACTAACTATGACCCCATTGGTTCTGTTTGTGCTGAGTGGTAACCACAGGCATCTCCCCTGGCTCCTGAGAAATCTTTAAGAGGCCTAAACAACAGTCACAAGCCTGAGAGACGGAGCCTAGCCCTGCAAGGGACATGTAAAATTTGACTAGAGCAATAATAGTTCTCCAGCTTCCGTGGCCAAGAAGACAAATGTAAAATATACTGGGGGGCATGAGTTTTCCCAGAGGCTTGGCGAGTAAACACTGTTTTCATAGTTTCTGGATCATTTCTGAAATGTGCCTTGCAGAATCTCCCAGTGTCAAGATTGGTTCATCAGGAGGCTTAGAATTTAGCCCTAAACAGTTTGCAAACACTTCTGAACCAGGATGGAAGTAGGAATGGTTCAAATATTTGACAGGGTTGAGGAGGAGAAAGGAAACAACAAAAATGAATACTAACTTTTTTTTTTTTTTACACTGTCCTAAGAGATTTGGCTTCAATCGAATTTGAGTTATTCAGATGTTTGTTGTTTTGGTTCTGACTGAGTGCTTTTCCTGGAAAAAGCACAAAGGACTTTGTAAACCTTAAAGAAAATTCCTAAATGTAAACAGAAAATCTCTAAAACTGCTTCAAAAGGTCATTGACATATAAATATTATATGTACCTATAAAATTTAAAAGAAAGGGACACACATAAAAAAGAAAGAAAGAAATCCTGAAAACAAGCACTCTACCCGAGCAAAATCAAAAGGATGTTTGGAGGCAAGGATGAGAAAGGGTGAAGGGCAGGAGCTGGCTTCCTCTAGCCTTATCCTCATTTCCCCTTGGCCAATTCAAGTCAGAGAGTCCAGGGTTCTTATTTATCCAAATGAATGTGCCTTTCAGGGTTTAAGCTATCCATTTCCATCTCTCTTCACTTGCTGAGCTGCTCAGATTCCCCTGAGTGTTTGGGTTAAGAAGAGGCTCCTCTGGGAGATTAGAAACTGATACCCTTCAGCAAGGACAATAGGGGCTGCAGACAGACGGGCTGATGAGGCTTCAAGTGGGTCCCCAGAGAGGTGGAACGGTGTGGTTAGAAGTAAAAGCTTTGATGAGCCGCCCATTTCCTTCTGACCTGTGGATGCAAGGAGGCCAGTGGGCCAGACAGGCATCTGAACACTGACTAGCCAGGAGATGGAGATGCTCTTCCGGACCCCCTGTTACCAGGTCTGTGACTTTGAGAAGCCATCTAGCTTTGTGCAGTTCAACTTTCTCAGCTGTTCAGAGAAAAA